ATCTCCAAAACAACAGAATTACAATGGAAAAAATATGCTCACAAGGTTGATCAAAAGCTTTAACGAAGTAGCATTACAACTTTAATCCATACAATGAACGATGAGCAGACAAATAGCGATAGAAGGATACAATTAATCCAAGACTCATGGAAAATATTTGAGAAAACCCTAATAACTGCAGTCTTCAATCACCTATATTGTAAAAAAAGAACAACAAGGGAAACAGTCAAACTGCGTAAACATAAAAAGAGTCAAAGAGAACAACTTGTACTTTGTAGCTACTGTCTAATTACCAAAACTCTCAACAGTTGGGTCAACTCTCAAGACCTTGAGGAAAAACCATTGCAAGCTCAAAAATTATGAAAGAAATGCAACGAAATTAATCAAAAGATAGTACCAATAGCTTCAACCTTCAACTCCATTCAAAAGTTAACCAGAATCCTGGAAGAAAAAAAAAAGAAGGACACACTAGCTCTCCAACTCAAAGAAACAGTCAGTTCCCTAAAAAAGATATGTCTTAATGAAAAAAGAAGTAGAACCAATGTAGAAATCAAACAAGAAATTGTAGAAAGATATAGAAATCTCAAAGAGAACCAAAGAAAAGTAGTACAAGGTCTAATAAACAACTTTTGAGACAAAATAACCATAGATAGAATCAGTGTTTAAGATGAACTAGGAAGAGAATACATATCAGTAAACAAAGAGGAAATTTTACATCAGACCAAAGAATATTACAAAAAAGCTTTCAAAAAGAGAAATGATAACTTTGAGCTACTGGATGAAAAATAGAAAAAATAATATATATCAAAAGCTAAAATAAAAGAGGAATGGTACAATGAGCCGATGAATATCATTTCCCGAAATGAGTTGGAAAAAGTATTGAGAGACCTTCCCAATAATAAAGCAGCAGGACCCAACAAGATCAAATACAAAATACTCAAAAACTAAAATCAGAAGGGAAAAAAATATTATATCAACTTAGGAATATATATTTAGTCTACAATATGACCCCAGTGGCATGGAAGGAAAGTCTACTCTACCCTATTTCAAAGGAAAAAGAATGGCAAGGCAACTTAAGCAACACCAGACCTATAATCCTTTTGGATGTTATATGAAAATACTTCATGAAAATTATCACCAACTGATTATCCATTATTTGTAAAAGACACAATATCCTAAAAGGTCTCAACTTCGCAGGACTATCTGGAGAAAGCACTTCAGAACCTATCCACTTGTTAAACAATATCTGCAAAGAAACCAGAGAAGAAAAGAAGGAGTTATGGATATTATTTCAAGATACAGCTAAGGCATATGACACAATCAGTCTAAAAATGTTACAGAAGGCACTTCAAAGGATCAAAATTCCAGAAAAGCTTGCAACACTTATCTTAAATCTCTTTATCGACAGATCACTAAAGATAATTATAGATGTAGGAACAACGAAGAAAGAAATAGCAGAAAATAAAATAGACCAAAGGGAAACAATCATACTATTACTATGAAGCATCTTTTACGACCTCCTATTATGTGAAATCCAGGATAATACAAGACTAAGTTATTCTATAAACTGTAAAGGGAGAACTAATCACAACAAAGATGAATTCACACAACTGTTCATTTGACAAGCCACTATAGTATACATGAATGACACAATATGGATTGCTAGATCCGGAAAAGATATGGAAAATATCCTAGAAAGGGCCAAGTGGTTCTACGCAGCCAATAACTCACAAATTAATAGTAACAAATCAGTACTGATTATGATAAACAGCCACAACAAAAGACCAAATGTAGTTAAAATTAGAGTAAACCAACAGGAAGTAACCGAAAGTGATCATAGCAGCTTTATCAGATTTCTAGGAATATAGATAGGTAACAAGAGACATACTAAAGACACAATCCATCGAATTAAATGTGAAATCACAACAATAGTATCAAGCCTCCAAAAGAAAAAAGTAACAGACAAGTATATAGAGTATATTCTAAATAGAGTGCTTATCCCACATATAGAATATTGAATGCAACACTGCTTTCTAGACCAAAACACGTGCAATATTTTAACAACACAGTTAAAAAAGATTTTAAAGAAAGTGGCAGGATTGGTCTTAACCATTCCCAACTCAGCTATCTATCACAAGAAGATCTATAACATTAAAAGTATCAAGAAAATTCAAGCAGAAAACCAGATCTCCAACTTTATGAATAAACTGTGCGACATGGGTCCAACCAGCATATCCACATTAATCCGTCTTAAACAAGCCCAGGTTCAGAACTGGGAACCAAGTAACATCTTGACCAATGACATTCCTCAATCATTCAGATGTTCAAATAACTTCTCATCTCAAGTCCTGAAAATAACTAGCAATCTAAGAATCATAATATTTAACTTCCGATGGTCAAATTGCTTTGATTGAAATGGAGGCTCACTATTCATTAAAAATATGCTAAATAACACAAAGTTATATCAAAAAGCAATCCCATCTCTAAGAAAGCATAACATAATTTTTGTAGACCAAATAATCAATAATGACAGCAAAACATACTACTATGGAAAATCATTCAAATTCTCTCAAATACCAACAAAGTACCAACACCACTATGGTTTGGCAAAATCCAATTCATCTTGACAAATAAGTACAACATTCTAAAAAACAAATAGCAAAGCTGGAACTGGAAAGAACAAGACAAGAGATTTTTCTCTACCAGTTCAAACAAAGACCAACACCGATAGAGTTGGAAGATCACAAGTTCAGAGGAACCAAACAGACAAATCATTTGATATAGAAGTAAAGGAGATGCAGATGATCAAGCTCCCCAAGCAGAAGTTTACAACCTAAGAATAGGATCCAGACCAGATACAGTTAAACTACAAAGAAGCAAAGACACCACTTAACCCTAGACCAATGAGGAAACAAGAAGTTTATCAACCAGAACAAGTGCCTATGGAGGCAACAAAAGATTAAAGACCAGATGACTATCATGTGACATTATTAATCAATGTCTGACCCTTAGAAAAGCAAATGAACCAGAAATTCCAATCAGCATATACATTTTGGAAAACCTCACCAAAAAAGAATTAAAACACTTCAAGAAAAAGGAGATTATCAACAACCATATTATGGCAGTTGAAATAGAAGACTGGGGAGTACAAATAATCAAAGAACACATTCAATCTTCAGACTACATACAATCCCTGATAAAAGAATATAGAATCAATAAAGAAAGTAACTTCTAACAGCTCTATTGTTTTTACACAGATGGATCATATAGCAAAGCAAGAGACCAATCACTAAAAATGGGAGCTGCCTGGCTACAAGTCTAAGGATCAACCCCAGAAAGATCCTTTCAAGCAGAAGTAGACAACTGGCTATTAACACTTCAGGCAGAACTCTTGGTCATACCTCAGAAAAGTCAAATAGAAATTAGAACAAATTGCACAATCTGTATCAACACCCTGCAAAAGCTTCTCAACCCCTACATCAGAGATACAGGAAAAAGAAACAGAAAGCGGAAGAACTGGCAACTGTGGATAAGATGCATAGACCTAATACACAAGAAACAAATCACAATTCAAATGATCAAAGTAAAAGTCCATGACAAGAATGAGGTTAATTAATAACAAGGTGAACCTTCTTGCTAAAGCAGCAAAAGAAGAACCTAAGATTTGCTGGAACAGCTGGTATCGACAAAAAGCCCTAACAACACTATACTGGAACAAGATTTCCATTGATATAAAAATAAGAGAATTTGTCAAAGAAATATACAAGAGAAGCACTCTAACAAAATGGGCAAATCAAAATCGAATACAAAAAAGATGGGTCAGAGAAATAGACAACCAAGAAAACTTCGACTGGAAAAGTCTCTGAGAAGTAAACAAAGTAGGAGAATCTTTAATAACATCTTTTAAACAAGTCTGAGAAAAAGTCTTTTGGATAAAATTAATGTACAACGAACTACCGACCCTGGACAATATGACCAAAAGATTTTTCACTAAATACACAAACCTGATCAAGTGCCTATATTGTCAACAAGAAGAAGAATTCCTGGAACATCTACTCTCATATAACAGTATCGCAGAAATATGTAAAGAAATATGAAGCAAAAACCAGAAACAGCTACTCAATAAATAGCTGGAAAATGCTCAGGCAGAAGAAAAACAAGATAGGCAAATCACAATACAAGAGCTTTTACAAAAATAGCACAGGCACAAATTTTCCACAAGTATTGAAATCATAAACCTGTGCTTGGGATTTTTCTCAAAAGAAGATGTATCAGAATGGGTACAAGCAATGGTCAAAGTCAAGACCAAAATCAATGAAGCGAGACAGTTACTAAAGAAGTTTTCAAGAAATATCTGCAAGCAAGTTAGGAAGAAACTATGGAACGACAGATGTGCCAGATTACAAAACCTAGGAAGAAAACCCAAAATATTTAGATACAAGAAAAAAGACACACATAGGACAAGGAAAAAGAAGAGGAAATCAAGAGATCCTAACCAGAAAGAAACAAGCCTAAGAGAGCCACAAGAAGATGACATAGAAGACTCCTCCACACAAATTTAAGACAAGATCTTGATTTAGGAATAGATAAAAGAGAGGAGAAAATGGTTAGGAATATAAAAAGTAGTCTAGATTTTGAAAAGATGAACTGTAGTGATGAACTGTAGGCAATGACCTTTGGAATTGAACTCTATAAGCAAGTAAATGCCAAAAAGAGCAACTTTATTTATCTCCAAAGTCATACCTAGAGACATTAATCAAAGATGGATGTTCAAGTCAGTAAAATAGTTTATGCAATACAATGTATTATACATTATTTGTTTTCTGTAAAGATTTAATAAACAGTACGTACTTGTTTGACTACGGGAAAAAAAAAAGATATCATTTTTTATTATTCTAAAATATTAAATATTTATTTTAAATATTTGGTAAAAATCAACCATGAACATGCCATTTCTAAAATCATATTATCACCAAAAATCTACATATCTAACTTCTAAGCAGATAGAAATGATTAGATTACTCAAAGATAAGGTACCTAAGTATATAATTATGAGAGAATTCCATATTAATGAATATCGAGTAGATAATATATGGAAAAATCGAGAATGCCAGCAACAAATAGTACAAAGTACCATTTCCACATTAGTCTTATCAATTTCATCTGAAAATTTTAACCAAATTGGAAGAGAGACTTTATATCCAGAATCTATTACTCCCCTCAATACAGAAATGAAAAAGAGAAATTTCAAATCTTGGTCTAAATCTATTCACATATCCGATCCAATACCTAGCAGTAACTCAATACTAGTTAATACTGATGACTTTATTGCAAAGCAATGGCTCTCCAAGCCTACAAAAAAAATAAGTAGCGAGGATCTGGATGTATTGTATGAAAAAAAAGCCAGAAGAGATGAGAGAAATAAAGCAAAGATGACTGCCTATTAGCTATTACTTGGATCTATCTTTTGTTATCATCTCTGGAAGAGATATATTCGAGTAGCTTTTCATAATGCATTTGCAACTTTTTACAAAGATCATTTATTTCAATCTTAGACTGAAGAGTAGTATATAATGATTTTTCTAACTTCTTATAGCTCATGTGTTTTTTTTTAATAATAAATCATTAGAATTCGGGCTAAAACCCACAGAAGCACACTATCTTTCGAATGATATATTGTTATCCTTATTATTATCTGTCTCTTGAGAAATTTGATTGGATATCAAAGGCTTAACATTCTGAAATGTAGTAGCACAATTTACTTCAAGTTTATTCTTGACTTTGTGCATAGTAACTGGAATAATGTGATCTTTTCTATTAAAAAGAATTTTCAACTCATATTTACTCCAATCTATAGCACATTTATATTTCTTGAGAAGTGGATTTGGAAATATTAATGTTGGTTTAGGAACACGTACAACTACAAAATTTTTATGTATGGTAAAACCTGGAGGGAATGTTATTGGGAAATTACGAGCAATGTCAATAGATTCTGTTGGGACTGTTGCAACATCACTAAGATCATATTTTTCTGATTTATCAATTGGCCAATTTATACATTTAACAATATCTTCTGATGTAATTGGAGATTCAGTCCCACTATCAAGTATCAATACTGGAATTTTTAAGTGTTTGATTTTATACGGTATAGTTGCAAGGCTTGTGGCAGGTTCTTTCCAGCGGATAAAATCTATCTCCATAAGATCATCTAGCATTTCATCCTCCTCATCAGAATTGGATATTTCTGGAGCCGGCTTTTGATAATTTATAAAGTCAGGTTTTGTAACAGATAAATTCGTGTTATTAATATTGTTTCTAATCATTTCTATAACCTCTGGATCGTTAAACATAGCTAGAATAATTTTTCGAATTTGTGAATCGATAATCATACCTGATTTCTTTTGTATTTTTTGTAAAAAACGTTGAATCAGAAATTCAAGACTCTGTCTCTTTTTTGAACTAGACTTTTTAAATAATGATTTATCCGATTTACTCTTCTGCTTTACTTGTTTTTTTTTGTATTAGAAATATATATATTATAACTATGATCGGATTCAACCTCAGATGAGAAATCCCAAAATCAGAGTTATTAGCAGAAGAATTATTATCAGAAGAGTTTGTATCTGAACCCAAATCTATAGCAACCTTATTAACACTGCCTCTCTTTTTGGATCTACTCTTGGACCTTTTCTTACGAGTACACTTGCGAGAATTATGTCCAGTTCTTTTACAATTTGAACAATAATATTGAGATAATTTCTTAATGGTATTAATCTCTTTTGTTATTTTTGCTAAATTTAATGATAATTTTGACATACCTTTAGTAATTTCATTTATATTATCAGTACTGGTATCTTTATTCTTCGATTGCACTAGTTTCGCTGAAAACATATCAGACAATTTTTTATAAGATCATTAGCTAGAAATTTCATAATTTGACTGGTTAAAGGAATTGGATTTATGATATCGGCATGAATAAATCTTTCAGAATTTATGCTATACCCATTTGGAGGTCTTTCTGGCATATATTTATCTGATACTCTAGGATAATCATCGGAATTAGATCATTTCTGTTGAGATTGTACCAATATTATAGATTTAGTTTGTAATTGGTGTGAACTGGTTTCTGGCTAAGAAATTGTAAGTAATATATTAGCTGAAAAGCTAGCCTCTGGCCTAATAGCTGAGACTTGATCAAAATTTGATCCTCTATACAGGTTTGGAGTATATTCTAACCACATATTTTTTAATGCAATGAAAAATTTGTTAATACTTATTAAAGTATTGGATCTTATTCAAGTAAAAAGCTTATCTGGTAATTGACTTTTAAGAAATCCCAAGACTTGAGCATTATTATTGGATACATTTAACAAAAGAGGTCAAATTCTAGTTTTGTAGATATCTGAAGTATCAAAAGGTTGAAATCTTTCTTGAGTTAATCTTTAAATTGCAGATTGTTTGGTTCCAACTGTTTCTTATTGATATTTTGTTCTTGCCCATGCCCTCAAAGTTGTTAGAGTATTAATGGGAGGATTACCAACAATATATAGATCATTAGCTGGTACTGGAGCATATTTTCCAGCCATCTTAGATTTTAAAATAGTACACTTGACTGCATCATCAAAATCTCCTGCATTTGTATTTTCAAGAACTGTCATATGCCCTCAGCAAATACCTATGATTGTATAACCTTATCAAAATAATCATCAGGAGGTTCTTGACCAATATAAGGTAAGAAACTTGCAAGAGCCAGTTGTATTAATTTTAATACTGATAAATGTCTAGCTTCTGCTATATTTAGTGGATTATTCTGTAGTAATAAAATTTGGACTTGTAAATTTAAAATTAATTGCTGTGAATTATACTCTCTATTTTTTCACTTGATATGACTTGCCTTCTGATCTTTGAATTTATTGTAATATTTATTAAAGAGCCGATCTCGATTATATTCTAATAATCCTTTATTGGCCTGACATCTTCACAATTCTTGTTCTAATTGATAGTTTTTTAATCTATACAGAACTTCAAAAACATGCATAAGTTTAGATCGTTCTTCTAATGACAAGGTAATATTATATCACAAATGCCCTTGCATATCATACCTTTGTTGTAAATTCCTATTATTGATATAGCATTGCTGTAATAATAATTGGATAGCAAACTTTTCTCGAATTAATTCACCAACATGTCTATTTTTAGCACGATATGAGAACCACCAGTGACGATGTTCTTCCTGTTCATTATTATAAGCTATAGTCATCAAAGTAAGATTATTATGATAATTGTCACGCTCTTGAGTAAGTTGGTTAACTTGATTTCATAAGTTATGTCGCTCTCGGATAATTTGATTAACTTGGTTCTGTAAGTTATCTCGTTTTTGGGTAATCTGATTGACTTGGTCCAGAAAATTATTTTGGGTAAGCTGATTAACTTGATTTTGCAAAATGATATTCCATTGTTTATAGAAATTGACATCCTGTTGTAATTGAATTATCTGATTATTCCTGTCATTTCATTGAGCAATAACACCATCTATATCCTGGAATGCATTTTGGTAATTAAGACAAATATTATTCAAGGAATCTCTAATACTATTTATAATATTAATAGAATTATTTAATGGTGTTTTAGCTCCTCTAATATGATTCTCAATATGATTTAAGCCTCGATAAATTTGTATAAAAAGATCAAGATTTGCCATATTTATATTTTTCTCTTCTGAATTATATAAACTTGGAGAGCTTCTTCGAGAAGAAATAACTTTGAATCTATGCCTTAGATTTTGAATTCGCTTTTCTGATTCTTATAATTTTTTCTCTATATTATTGATATAAGATATCTTGTCTTAGATCTCTTTTTTAGCTTGATATAAGCTTTTTTTAAAGAATGATATTTCCAATCTTAACTCCACCTTTTCTTTCTCTGAAGCATTCTCAAGCTGTTCTAGTTCTTTATTGAAGAATTGAATTTCATTTTCGCACTGGATATATTTACATTCCAGATCTTTTATATATTTCTTGTTCGATTTGTTGATGGCTACCTCTGATTGCAATATCTCTTAAAGTTCTTGATTAATTTGTTCTAGCTCAAGTTCTTTATCCATAGCTGATCTATGAGTTGTTCGATTGGGGTTGGGATTTATGAAATGCCATGATTATTACAAAGTAATGAGATTCTGTCTTTATTTTTTATAGCATGTTATATTGACTTATTTCTTGACTTTCTGAAACATAGTTTATTGCTATAGTAAAATATATCGAAAATGAGTAAATTGAGCAAGCCTATTATTAGAATCAATCCAGATAAGAAATTGCAAATTATCCTAAGCATGCATTATTATAAATCTACTGGTTATCATTTCAATGCAAAAACTTTAAGAGATGCATGTAAAAAAGAAGAATATAATTTCTTATCGTAAATGGTTGTATAACTAGAATGAATGGCAAAAGTATACTTCATCACCGAAAAATACTCCACGAGTAAGTTATGGAAAAATTTCACGTCCAAACTATATACACATGTGTAATTTGTTACGCCTTACAAATGATACCATTAATAAAAAGACATAAATAGACACTTAGTGTCATAGACATTGCTAGTAGATTTAAATATGTTATTCCTCTAACTACAAAAAACAGTTCAGAGGTAGCCAAGATGTTTAAGAAAATTTATGATAATTCGAACATCCCTCTTACCTGGCCTAATTTATTACAATGTGATGATAGTAAAGAATTTATGGATGAAACTTCAAAAATAATAGAAGCACATAATGTTAAAATCCAAATTATAGGCCTATATTCTCATCAAGGTCTTGCAATTGTAAACAGGTTTTGTAAGACATTAGCAGAGATGCTGTACAAAGTTCAATCAGCTGTTGAAACTATATCCAAAAATCCTAAATTAATAAGGGCATGGGTTAAGTATTTACCAAAAGTTCTTGAATATCTGAATAATTATCCAACATGATTTATACAAGTACCAGGATCAAAGAAATGAGGATTAGCACCTGTGAAGGCAATTAGATTGGATAGGGTGGAATTTAAATCATCTACAAAATACAAACATTCAGTTGGTAAAGATGAAGAAAAATTAAAAAAGGGAGATACCATTCGTTACTTACTTGCGAATGCAGAATGAGAAGGAGGTATGGAAAATCAGAGGCGTGCAACAGATGAAATTTGAAGCCCTTTTTTACATAAAATCCACAAAATTATGGTAACAAAAAATGAACCAGTTTTATATTATCTTGGAAACAATAACAATGAATATCCTTTAAAGCGTAGATTTATGTAAGAGGAGCTTTTGCTAGTAGATCTAGAAAAACTTCAGTATCTGCTCCAGAGTATATTGGAAGAAAACACTCATTCCAGGTCTGTTAATTTCATCTGTATTATTAATAAAATAGCTAAGGCGCAAGCTTATGTTAAGAAGCACAGTGGGGAATGTC